CAAAGAAATCATATAGACTATATATTGTTCTTGACAGTCTGATTAATATCATATTAATAAGTACCTCTGCATGTTGAATCCAGTGCTCATCAAAAGTTCAGTTTGCGCAGAGAAAACAATACAGAGAAACGTCTACAATTTTTCTTCATTTATTTTTTTAGTAAAAGGACAATCCATCTTAACTTTTGGTGACTGTCACAACATGAAAAAAGCTTCCTAGGAGTTCACCCATACTGGTACTACTCTAGTTTGTATGTGGATCTTCCTCGGTCAGCAGAGTTCAACGCTGTTCTTCCCTCAAAAATGCTAGCTCTGATGAAAATTTTAGTTCATTGGGACAACAATGTAATCTAGATATCATTCACTTTAGGGTTATGACATATCATCCTCTAGACATGCATACTTAGCCATATTAAGAAGTGACCCTTAGGTCTGTGCTCTTTTTCAGTTAGTGTTGGGTTTGATAAACCTTTTCATCCGGTCTGCATTTCACTTCCAGTCCCCACACTTTGTCCATTCATTTCCTCTATAGGAGTCATTGAAACTTACTATTAGTATCTATGTAATACCTATATCCAGTACAGCACAGCAGATTGATCATTCAAAAGAAGACTCGCGCGTTTATGAACCTTTATAATCTAACCCACTGATCTTAGTGAATGTATCTACCATGAATAAATCATTGGTAGAGCATAACAGAGAAACTCTAAATCCAAAAAGAAATAAGAATAACTTCATTTCTTACAGAACCAACCATGTCTTTTTTCTGTTATCAAAATCAGGAGGTTTGAGTTTTACATACGAATCTAACTATACATAAATGATAAATCTATGCACAGTAGCCAATAAAATAACATAAAAATCGCAATCAGAAGTATATGCAGGTGTTCTGTTTTAACTAGGCATTACTTCAAGAAAGTAACCAACTGATATTTGCTAAAAGTTAATTAAAGTGGCGAAGAAGTTTGAGATACACAGCAGAGCAGACAAGCAGAGTAGTTACGGAAAATGAAGACTAACCTTCCAACCATCTTTCTGTCTCATTGAATGCTCGAGTACAATTATGAGGAAGTTGTGTATTAGATCTTCTATCTCACCAATGCTAATGCCATTTAAATCTTTGCTGGAACCCATCTATAGAGATATGCGCATTAATACAATCAGATACATAACGGCATGCACATGAGACGGACGCTTACCCTAAATCAAAGATAATAAGTAACAATGTACATGCATAGTGTCCATCAAGAGACATGCTTACAACAACCATACACGCCATGTGTGAGTGCACAGGGACATGATTAGCACTTAGTGTCATTATTATTACCTCATAATTGGACATAAGAACCTCCAGAATCCACTCTGGCCATTCTGCCATGCAAGTGAGACTAGTTCTGTTTTCTGGATGACTGCAAGCCAAAAACAGAAGATCCTGAAATCATATAAAAAGAAAACTTTCAGTTTAAAAAAGGAGATGCAGGAGTCTAAATGAAGATCAGAAAAGAAGTATTGCATAACATTCACATTATACACTTCATGTTACCATCAAATGAACATGCGCGTGTGCGTAGCTACCACTTAATTAATTTTCAAGAATAAGCTTAAAGTTGGCTTCCACATACCAAGCAACATGACATGGTGTAACTTCCCAATAGGTGATTCAAAATATTCAACTAGACTTTCATAATTACATGTGGATTAAAATAAAAAAAGTCTTCTGAAAGAGTCTGTGCCATCTCTCACACTGTTCATGTCTAACTCGATAAATTAATTAGAAATTTTCAAACAACATAATTCTTTTCATCACAAACTTCTCAAGTGGAATTTTGTTTTAGCGCTCAGAATTTGACCATTGATTTACTCTCAAACAATGCAGTCTTAGGGGTGTTATTCGCTCCGGATTGTTGATTTGGACTCAGATAATTGTCCACGAATCCAACATTCTTGGATTGGGACCTGAACTCGGACTTTATGGTTAGAGCCCCAGACTCTTGGACTGGATTCTAAATTTTTAAGTAGAATTCTTGAACTTTTAGTTTGGACTCTTGAACTTTTGCTTTGGATTCATAGACTAAGAGTTGGATTCTAAGACTAAATTTTAGATCATGGATTATTTGAATTAGAAGTTTCAAAATAAATTATTATGTTAAATAATAATTATTTATAAAAAATGAACATTAATTTGGAAAACCATCATCATCTCGATTAACAAATGGCAACAATAAAACTGAGTACATCTTGTAATCTATTTAAATAGTTCAAATGATGTCACATAGCAAAAGACAACTAGCACAAGCACACACATGAAAATATATAGTGTTCAAGTACATAAAAGAAAATAACTAGCGTTCCACCATATAAAAACTAATTTATATAATTAAATATGTAAATATTACATATATTAGAAAATTTTATATCGAACATTTGACATCAAATATTCAGATGATCCAATATTAAACATTTTTTGCTATTTAATATATTAAAATTTTAAATATTACATATATTTGATATTTATGTACTTAATATATTTCATATTTAAATAAAAACAAAACGAATGTAATATAATAGTAAATCTTTATAATATTTATATATTTAAGAAATGTTAAATAATATAAATATCTAATTTAATATTAAATATTAAATATATTAAGTGATTAAATAATATTAAATATGTTTTACTTTAAATGAACTAAATAAAAAAGAAGTTGATTACAAATATTTCAAAATTAAATACACTCAATGTTGATATATAAATAATTTAGGAATATGGAATATTTTAAAATTAAATATATTTAATTTGAAATATATGAAATATATAAATAAGCAAAGAGAAGAGGAGAGAAAATATCCACAGAGTGAGATCATAATCCACCAATTTTAACTTATACTTTCTCTAGAAATTTTGTCATTAAAAACTATAAAGTTGGAATGGAGTGTGGATTTCAAAATTCTAATCCTAATAACAATCCTATACACAACCAATAATACATTAAATTCAAATTCAAATCTTAGTCCTAAACCAATAATACGTTAAATTCAAATCTAAATCCTAGTCCTAAACCAATAACACCTTAAGCTCAAATCTGAATCTTAGTCCTAAACCAATAACAACTTAAATTTAAAGGAAAAATTGTGTCAATCCCCAAAAAAAAAAAAAAATCATATGGCCCAGTGCCCCTAATGATTTCTATTGTGTATTGGCCTCAAAAATTATATTTTATCCAAGTTACCCATTTTATCCAAGTTACCCATTACAAATCCCCATCATCTCCTCCCTTCCTCCTCTCTTACATATTTTACCCCTCTTTTATTCTCCACCCATTACAAATCCCCATCATCTCTTCCCTCCCTCCTCTCTTTACATACTTTATCTTTTTGTTATTCTCCACCCATTAAAAATCCCCATCATCACCTCCCTCCCTCCTCTCCTAGCCTACTCTGCAGCTACTCCTCCCTCCTCTCCTCTCCTAAATCTAACCTTCAGTCTGCTCCTCCCTCCTCTCCTCTTACTCTCTCCTAACTCTAACCCTAACACTCCTCTCTCTACATCTCTCCATCCAACTCCATCGTCTCCCTCTCCTGCCTCCCGCTTCGTCACCATCGGTCGCTCCTTTCACTCTTCTTCCTCATCATCGTCATCTCCTACGTCATTTCTTGCTACCACTGCCTCCTAAGTCATCTCCTGTCATTACTATCTTTCATTACCCCTCAACAAGAAAAGCTCTAGGTGATTCTTCCACTCTCTTCCTCTTTCCTCTTTTTTATTCCCCCTTTCATTGTTCACTTCATTCTGCCCTCTTCATCAAAAGACCCTAAAAGCTTGGATGTAGTGACAAAATTGGTGTGGATTTCTTCAATTTAAGCATGTGTGTTAGAGCGTGAATAATAGCAAGCTTGATTTCTGGGGCAAAATTGGTGGGATGTGATTTGTTTGCTTCACTCTTAAGATTGCTTTAGCGATATATGCTCTCCACAACTTCATAATCCCACTAATCCCAACCTATAGCCGATTCAATGAAATTATGAGCATTTTAGTTGTTAAATATAAGCATTTCAATTATTGAAAGATTCAGCAACATTAGAGTTAGCGTGACCATATATAAAAGTATTTAACAGGTATTAGATATAGTAAATATGTACTTGCTAAAATTAATAGGTATTTAGTATAGTTAACAAGTACTGGTCAAAGTTAATAAGTAATCGATATAGTTAACAAGTAATAACTAAAGTTGACAGATATCGAATATAGTTAATACGTATTGATTAAATTTAACAGATATCAGATATCGTTAACAGGTACTAGCTAAAGTTATTAATAGGTAGTGGATATAGTTAATTGGTACTGGTTAAAGTTAGCATGTACTCGATATAATTAATAAGTATTGATTAAAGTTAACAGATATCAGATATCATTAACAGGTACTAGCTAAAGTTATTAATAGGTAGTGGATATAGTTAATTGGTACTGGCTAAAGTTAACATGTACTCGATATAATTAATAAGTACTGACTAAAGTTAACAGGTACCGGATATAGTTAACATATAATGGGTAAATGTAACATTAAAGGGATAAACTTAACATGTAATTAATAAACTTAATAAGTTGTTACAAAAGTCATGAGGCAGCTTGAAAGAGCATATGCACTTATCTTTAAAAATCCACACTATCTATCCTAACGAACTCGTCGCATGCAAGCATGGCAGTACACTAATACTGGGAGTCAAAGTATTATTAATACTTTCTCATCGTTATTTTTGCTTAATAGTAATTTTTCTCATCTTTATTTGAGTAAAACAAAGATTGCATTGTGTAATTGAACACAATTGTGCATTCAAAATCAGAACTGTATACTCTTCTTTGCATTTAAATGATAAGATAACTCGCGTAGCATTAGCACAGGCCACAAAATCCTAATTCAATACAGTTGTGCATTACAAAAATTAAGCTTTGTTTCCAAATCTAAGCTTTAAACTTGCAAAAACCTCACACATCTCTCTTTGGAATTTAATCAAACACTTTACAAACAATCTCCAAACTATAACATATCATATACCCACTTAACGTACTACTCCAAAGAACAAAGTTGAGGATGGTAGCAAGCTCGGAGAGGAGATACTACTCTAAATAATCTATTCTTATTAAGTGTCACAAGTACATGTTAACTAAATCTTGTAATGCTAATTATAACAAGTTATTGTTAACGATCACATGTACATGTTAACTATAATAGGTAGATGTTAACTGTAAAGTATTATGGTTAAGTATCATATATAACTATTAACTGTAACATGTATCTGTTAAAAGTAACTAAAAATTAGATAATTTCTCATCACCTGTTAATTAATAAGCAAACAGATATTAGAGCTAACGTGACCATATATAAAAATATTTAACAAGTATTGGATATAGGACCATATATAAAAATATTTAACAAGTATTGGATATAGTTAATAAGTACTGGCTAAAGTTAATAGTTACTGGGTACAGTTAACAAGTATTAGCTAAAGTCAGTAGGTACTAGATATAGTTAACAGGTAATGGCTAAAGTTAACGCATATCGAATAGGTATTGTTGAAGTTAACAGATATTAGATATAGTTAACATGTACTTAATATGTAGTTGATATAGTTAATATGTACTGACTAAAGTTAACATGTACTGGATATGATGACCTAAAACATAACAAAATGAGATCAATAGACAGTCATCTCAATTGAGTTTTGCTTCAATTTGTTTCATTTGTATAGACATAAACAATTCCATGATTTTCATAATGTGATTAATCTATTTTTTAACCATTGAATTCAACATACGCTAAGTTCTCTGGTTGAAGTAAAATAACAAACAAATTGTGTGCAGTTTCAAAATAACACAGTCATAACAGATAAAACCAAACATGCAGCAACAAGGTACAGTTTAGGATTAAGCTCAAAAACGTCAGCAGAATTAATCATAGACCATGTTGATCTCGTCGACGTATAGGGATAACAGTGGGCTTTCGATTACTGAAGAAAGAGATGAAGGCAGAGCAAAGGAGGGAGAGGACATAGGTGATGCCGCCAGTGACAGAGGAGGTTAGGGTCTGGGTTTAGGCAACGTTGATATCGCTAATGAAGATGCAAACACGAACTAGGAGGGGGCGATTGAGGGAGGAAAGCGAACAAAAACCCCTCCTTTCATGTTAGCAAGAGGGGGAGGCGGGAGAGGGAGACAACGGGGTCGGTGGATGTGCTCAAGGTCTGCTCTGGTAGAAGAAGAGGCGGGAAAGGGAGATGTCAAGGTCGGAGGGGAAGAGGAGTAAGAGGGAGAGGAAGGTTGGGGTTAGGGGAGAGGAGGAGAAGAGAGGAAGTGGAGGGAGGAGCAGTTGTAGTCTCCACGAGAAAAAACAATAGGCAGAGAAGAAGAAGAAGAACACTAAGAAGAGGGGTACTTTTAGAATATTTGTGGATATTTCTTTTCCTTTATTTGTTAGATAGTGTAAATAGGGACTAAATCACAAAAGCTCATTGTATTTGGGACCAATACAAAAAGAAAATAATACTAGAGGATGGACCACATGAGTTTTTTTACTTTTGGGGACTTGGTACAATTTTTCCAAATTTAAATCCAAATTCTAATCATAAATCGTTAACCCCCTCAATTAAAATCCAAGAAAAAAACCCAAGTCCGATCCAACAATCCTCAACCAATAACCTCTCCTTAGAAATCGTTTCATAGCTAACAAAGCATAGAATACACTAGTCTTTCAGGTTGCGTTTGGCAAAGGGATAAGGAGGAGAGATTAAAGAGAAAGGTTAACTTAGTTAACCCATCATGAAGGGTTAAATAAATTCTAAACCCGTTTGGATACGATAGTTAAGATAAGGGGTTAAGTCTTTTATGTTTGGCAAATGAAGAGGGGTTAAGGAGATTAATCTCATTATTTTTTAAAAAATACCACTTTTGCTCTTATTAAAAATTTATAAATAATTACCTCGTCAAAAATAATATAGCATCAACCACATTATTATAATGTCTACTAATAGTCTCTCTTAAATGTTAAAATATCTCAGCTAATACTCGATTTGAAAGGGCATGCGAAATTCCGTATAAAAATATACATAGTTGTTCATTGTAGCTTAAATATTTAGTTGGTCTTAAAAGCATTTTTCTCAATGAGAACATTTTTTAGCAAAAGAATTATCTCAGAACTTACAAAGAAACATAATCCAGCTTCTTTGTGACCCCAACAAAATAGAAACATTTATTACACCCCCAACCCCACCCAAAAGCTTCCCCTTTCTTCTTCCAACTCTCTCTCTTTCCTCCCCTCACTTCTCCAATTAGAAACCCTACTCTTCGGTTGAAAGGGGAAATTTTCTAGGATTTTTTTTCTTTTGACGTTGGATCCCTAAATTTAGCGATGAGTGCTCAGAAGAAAAGGAACTTTAAGATTGAGGCGTTCAAGCATCGAGTGGAGGTGGATCCTAAGTACTCAGAGAAGACATGGAAGATTCTCGAGCATGCAATCCACGAGATCTACAACCAAAACGACAGTGGATTGAGCTTCGAGAAGCTGTACAGGTGACTAATTGCTTGGATTTGTGCTGATTTGGTTTGAATTTGAGTTTCATTTGGGCATTTTAGCATTAATTTTTTGATGGGTTATTCGTGAATATGGTTGTATTATTTTGGATAATAATAGGTTTGGGTTCTCGTGCGATGGTTAATTGGGATGAAAAACTGTTGTTCCGTTCTCTTCTTTCAAAATTCTGTCGGCTACCCTCGCGTGAGAAGGCGGAACAAGTCTTGTTCCGCCTTCTCACGCGGAATAGTTAACCCTTCAATTCACGGGATAAATGTGTTGATGGGCTCACGTGCGGGTTAACTAACCTGTGGGCTTTTTTTTCTGTTTAGCAGGTTAATGGAGGGTTAAACCCCCTTAACCCTTCATTTATCATGTTGTCAAACGCAGCCTTAATACACTAAAATAGTTTATTTTAGGCTACAAAAGCAATTCTGAAAATTTGGTAGAAGATGAACCAGAAGTTTAAAAAAAGTAATAAATAAACTATTTCATATTAATCACTTATTTGAATTTATTGTTGTATAATAAACAACATATTTCACTAAGAATTATTTTTTAAAAAATAAGACATTCTAAAAGTGAAATTCATAAATTTGTGTCATGCTAAATATACTATATGCACTCATACACATTATATAAATATCATATGCACTGCTAACAAAATTATGTTATATCCCTCGTGTGTCATGTTGTGGCACATATCCGTACACGTGCTTCATAAATGTTATGTAGATATGCATACGGGCATACCTAAAGGTTGTGCTTGACCAATCAATGTAGAAATTTATATCATCAAGATATGTTAACCTTCACGTGGAGAGCAACAAAAAACTTTATAATTGCGTCATAACAACTTGATGTGCCTATCAAGTATTATGAAATGTTCCTGGTATGTCCAGAAGTGTCCAAGTATTTGCCGCAAGTAAATAAAAAGTTGAAATGTGAAATGTTTGGATGACAATAGCAATAAGTATGAAACTATAATAAGAAAATTACTCAGGATGTTTCTCACCTGGATAGCTCGAGCTTGGAATGAGGTGGAAGCATAAGGAAGTGAATGAAGCAGGACCAGTAAAAGCTGGACATGTTCAAAGCGATGACCGGAATCATATAAATTCAACCCATCATCAGTTGAAGAAACATTTATCTGAATAAAAAGAGAATTATCAGAGTTAAGCTTCTGATTTAGATTTGTGTTGCGATTGGAGCAACTTTGTGGACTTATCATCCTATTGAAGAGGATTGATAAGTGGATTTTGTCAGAGGTTTAGTGTTAACGTGACAGAATGTGTTGCGATTGGGGCAACTTTGAGAACCTATCGCTCTATTGGAGAGAGTCGATAAGTGGATTGGTTGTCAGAGGTGTGATATTAACGTGACAAGAATGTGTACTTGTGACTTGCACAAGATTTTAGGAATTAGCGTCTCGCTGGGGAAACTTGCTAAATGAGTTTATCATCAAAAGCGATGAATTTTGATACTAAGATTTTAAAGACTTAGTATCTTGCTGGGGAAGATTGCGATTTGAGCAATTTTGAGAACTTATCATCCTATTAACAAGGATTGATAAGTTGATTGTTAGAGGTGTATTGTTAACGTGATAAATTAGGAGTGATGCAAGCTGTATTCATACTCTATGGGGATGATGATCGTCAGAAGTGTAATGTTAACTCGACGATGTGAAAGATTCGTTACTCTTAATCCAATGGATTCCAAGTAACCAACCCCCAGTCTTGATTAAGACTTAGCAGGGGAATAAAAAGAGGTAGACAAGGCACATCACCTAGTGGAGTGAGGCACTATCCATGAAATCGGAATAGAGGCACATCACCTGGTAGGCCATTATCTGATGAGTTTGACTATCAGAGGTAACTGTTAACGTGATAGTTTTGTGGACCTGCCATCCTATTGAAGAGGATTGGCAAGTTGATGGACTATCAGAGGTAAATGTTAACGTGATAGTTTTGTGGACCTACCATCCTATTAAAGAGGATTAGCAGGAGAATTTGGAGGGGATGTACTATCAGAGGTGACGGTTAACGTCATAGTTTTGGTGGACCCGCCATCCTACTGGAAGAGGATTGGTGGGGGAATTTGGAGGAAAAGGGCTATCAGAGGTGACGGTTAACGTGATAGTTTTGGTGGACCCGCCATCCTATGGTTTGAATTTGAGTTTCATTTGGGCATTTTAGCATTAATTTTTTGATGGGTTATTCGTGAATATGGTTGTATTATTTTGGATAATAATAGGTTTGGGTTCTCGTGCGATGGTTAATTGGGATGAAAAACTGTTGTTCCGTTCTCTTCTTTCAAAATTCTGTCGGCTACCCTCGCGTGAGAAGGCGGAACAAGTCTTGTTCCGCCTTCTCACGCGGAATAGTTAACCCTTCAATTCACGGGATAAATGTGTTGATGGGCTCACGTGCGGGTTAACTAACCTGTGGGCTTTTTTTTCTGTTTAGCAGGTTAATGGAGGGTTAAACCCCCTTAACCCTTCATTTATCATGTTGTCAAACGCAGCCTTAATACACTAAAATAGTTTATTTTAGGCTACAAAAGCAATTCTGAAAATTTGGTAGAAGATGAACCAGAAGTTTAAAAAAAGTAATAAATAAACTATTTCATATTAATCACTTATTTGAATTTATTGTTGTATAATAAACAACATATTTCACTAAGAATTATTTTTTAAAAAATAAGACATTCTAAAAGTGAAATTCATAAATTTGTGTCATGCTAAATATACTATATGCACTCATACACATTATATAAATATCATATGCACTGCTAACAAAATTATGTTATATCCCTCGTGTGTCATGTTGTGGCACATATCCGTACACGTGCTTCATAAATGTTATGTAGATATGCATACGGGCATACCTAAAGGTTGTGCTTGACCAATCAATGTAGAAATTTATATCATCAAGATATGTTAACCTTCACGTGGAGAGCAACAAAAAACTTTATAATTGCGTCATAACAACTTGATGTGCCTATCAAGTATTATGAAATGTTCCTGGTATGTCCAGAAGTGTCCAAGTATTTGCCGCAAGTAAATAAAAAGTTGAAATGTGAAATGTTTGGATGACAATAGCAATAAGTATGAAACTATAATAAGAAAATTACTCAGGATGTTTCTCACCTGGATAGCTCGAGCTTGGAATGAGGTGGAAGCATAAGGAAGTGAATGAAGCAGGACCAGTAAAAGCTGGACATGTTCAAAGCGATGACCGGAATCATATAAATTCAACCCATCATCAGTTGAAGAAACATTTATCTGAATAAAAAGAGAATTATCAGAGTTAAGCTTCTGATTTACAAAGGAACAGGTAGAGATATAGTTGATGCAATATAGTGACTATGGACACAAATTATGTGAATTTAGGGAATGTACCCAGTATTATCGTATAACAATAAATTAGTTTATTAAGTTTTAAAACATTTCCAAAATAGATAACATAGAAAATATTTTTTTTCAAAGAAAGGAAAAGATATAACTACAAATCTCCAAAGGCTCAGTAACTTATTTGTGTGTAACCTCAAAATACTAACAGGACTGCTCAGTTAAGACAGTAAGACCAAGATTATACATAAATATTTCCTCGTTCTGAATGAAATAATATGATGTTGGCTGTATTTACACTAACCCAAAGCATAAAATCAGACTAATGAGATTTCCTAGATATTACAAAATACCAAAAGTCAGAATGGAAAGAAAACTTTTTTCTGACATATATTGTTTCATACTAAAAAAAAAGAATGCAATAAAGAATAAATAATAAACAGAAGGCCCTTAAATGCTATCAAAAATGTGGTTCAAATTTTTGAAGAAGTGCTTCTTTTTCTACTGAAACAATAACATATTTTGCGATCTCCATCTTCGGCCATGACGATCAAAACTCGAGTAACTTAGAAAAAAAATCCAATTAGTGACATTAAGAAATCAAACTCAATTTTGACCACAGAAGTGCACTAAAAATATAAATTCAAAATGAAAATCCCCACTACAATGTAAAAAAAGCCCAACAATGTGAACTGAAGGCTAAATGTTTTTGTTATGTCAGCCAAGTGCCAATTCTTGAAAACATTTTAAACTAGCCAAACACAATCTATTATGCAACCTTAACACCTAAGCTTAGATAGATACAAAGATCCGAATCTCAGTAAATGTCATGGTTCTTATTTATTCTTTCTAATAGCAGTATTAGGAGTTCAGGGGTCTTGGCAGTTCTAGACAGGAAGCATCCGAACATGGATAGTCGAACTTTAGTCATAAGCTGTGTAGCCGTTGTTTTCTTCTCTTATTTCCCTAGTATAACACTATCAAATCAGCTTAAGATACTTTAAAATTCAAACCTCATATTACCTCTTAGCAGTGGCGGATCCACAACCTCTCGTGTGGTGGTTCGAAATTAACGCTAATTTTTTTTTCAAATACTACTAAGGAAAGCATAAAAATAATAAACAAATAATAATAAAGAGAAAATAGGAGAAAGTAGAAATGTAAAGAGAAAATAAGGATTATAGGAGAAATTAGAAACATAAAGAGGCTGTAGGAGGTTTTGAACCTTTGACCTCTTTGAAGGTAAGCTAATGCTTATACCACTAGGCTACAAATTACATTTGTTCACAAACTAACATATATGATATATATACTATTTCAAAATCTGAGGTAGTTCAAATGAACCACTTTGAACAAGAACAGGTCCGCCACTGCCTCTTAGTATTAGCGGATATCGACTTGCATTAGATGTCAGTTGTTTTGGCTTAGATCAGATTAGCATGCTTCAACTCACATGATACAGGCTAATGAGTATTGTTATCAGCTGATATTTTGTAACTTAATAAATATCACGTACTCCAATCTTTGCATATTTATTTTCTATAAAAAATGATTTTATTGTATTGCAATAGATTTTTAATATATAAGTACACTTAATTTGACCATTAAATATGAAAGCAAGTCTAATGGTAAGTTTGGCAATCTGGATTCAAAACATAAATGTGACAAAAGAATTTGTAACATCCCTGCATCATACGACATTCCAACATGAGAGACATATTACATATATTTGGACAATTAAACCATGTTGGGAGGCACATCCTTTTTCAATTAAGTTATTTTTCTAAGAATGTAAGACTTATGATGGAGGTCTTCAGCCTAGTTAAATACTGCATGAATAGCTAAGAAGAGCTGCTATGGTATGTCAGTAGATGCTTTTATGTACGTATCCGTTGAGCATACCAAGAAACTTCTCTGTTTAAATTAGATAACATTGTTCGGAGGTTCCATTGATTGGAACTTTGGTAGTTGGTAGTATAGATTCGTTCATCTGGAATGGACTTAATAATTGATGCTTTTACATAAGAAGAAGCTGAATAAAACATACAATTTGGTCATAATAGGACTAAACAGTAAGTTCTTTTAAAGAATTATGCATATTGATGGAGGGCTTGGACAGAAAAGGTACAAAAATCAAGAAAACCATGTCGGCAACAAGATATGTCATCATGCAATCTCAGACCTTTCAAAAAGAAAAAATAAGAAAGGGTGCCATGTCACTATCCATCCGGAACCAATAAACTGAAAGGAAACAATAAAATATTTCAGTTAAATAAGATAATGCAACAATCTGTATTTGCCACTAAAAAAGAATGCCTTATCAGAATAACAATTTGAAGCTTTCTGCATAAGATGTAAGAGATAAAATTTTAGTACTAAGCATAACAAAAGTGCAAAAAAAGGCTCGAATATCATGCAAACACAGCAAGATGAAATAGCTAACAATTTTTCAATTTAAAAAGAAAATGATGAAAAGTGAAACTTAAATGGAAATAAAATAAGCATATCTCAAACAAAATCCATTTAAATGGAATAGAAACACATGTACTAATTGTTAGCACAAAAACATGAAAGTACTTGACATTGAGAAACCAGTTACTTAAGCAAGTAGTAAGTCAATTAATAGACATTAACAGAAAGGAAGGTCTCGCTAAGTAAGTTAAAAGAATATTAAACTGGAAAAAGCAGAACTAATGCCAGTTAATTTTAATTTACAAATATCTTCTTGTTTAGAAACACTTGACATATATGCTTTCATCTTGCAACTATCAGATAATCCCCTTTCATACAGGTAACCCTTTTCACGTCAACAATTAAGCCTAACAATAAATTATAGTCGAGCATAATTAAGTTCTGTCCAAAGAAATATCAGCTATTAGACTAATTGAGGACTCTGAAGAAATTGTTAAAAATTGTGACCTTACCGCTGCACCCAACAAAGCCATATAGACATTAGTAGTCAATAGCCTCTGAGGAGCCGCTTGGAAAGCCTTTTGCAATGAAAAAAGTAGCAAAGAAACTTTGTCATCAAACATCGAACTTCCTTCTTCATGCAACAACACGCTGCTCCAAATGTTACTTGGGGGACGGTGAGATGAAGAATTCGTGGCAAAAGTTAGATGACCTGATATGACTAGCACACCCAAAAGGTTGATTATCCCAATGACGACTCCATCACCGTTGTCAATATTAAATACATTGTTCCTAGCACTATCAGCACTTATAGAGAAACTTATGCCACCCAAAGTTTTTAGTAGTTGAGTCTCAGAAGATGATGTCATTCTTTCAATATCTGTACACAAGGAAATTGTCAAAGAACTATCATCATTATGCAAGGATTTAGGATGTGAACTCATTTCATCAGAAATAGATTCTTTTTCCACAAATGATTCGAACTTGTTGCTCTGGACTTTTGCCCCAAGTGTAGCTTCCAACTCAGATTTTCTCTTTGGCACATTATTAACACCACCCAGGGAAGAACCATCCAGAATATTATGGTTACCAGTTTTTGCTTCTTGCTGTAAAAGAAAAAGAAGTGATTCTATACCCCCACAGGATAAGAATGACTGAGCAAATGTGTGAGCTCGGGATGTATTAGGCTGAACTACCAACCTATAAATTAGGTGCAACAATCTCGCCACCTAGCCAAAAGTTTCAAGATGCAAACTTTAGTCAGTATGAGCAAATAAAAGTTCAAATTACTATCACTTAAAAGTTAGCTTATCATAGGAAGAACATGGGAAACAATGAATCTTGTATTACATAATTAATACAGTATAATACAATAATATAGACATAAAACTTTTAAAGTGGACCACACTGATCATTCAATTAACAGAAGGCCTAGGAAGTGAGTCTATATCCTAGACAAAATTCTTCGATGCAAAGGCAGCTATGGCGAAATGATAATGGTATCTATGCAAAGTTTTTCACCAACAAATATAATTAAGCATCTTATAATTTGACATGATATGCATGAGACAGAATTGTAAGGTCTTTATAAAATTTCTAAGGAATTTTTTGACAGAAACATTTTGATTTCAAAAATTATCACTATAAGAAAAAGAATATCACTTCCATTACACCAAATGCATGTTGCATTTGCTATTTACATAAAGTTGGTAAAGGCATGTATTATGGTTTAGAAAATGACAGAATTGGTGTCCCACGTACAAATACTGAAGATTAAATATGTACTTTAACTTAATCAGCTAACTAATAATAGTCAGCAAGCACCTTTGGCTTAAGAGCATAGTGAACCGTAAAATTTTCATATTAAACACGTTGACAATATCTAAGAACAGAACCCCACGGTCCAGCACTGCACAGTTATTATGCCACTTCCTCCAATGGTATCCATCAGTCCTTGTAGTCCACTGCTGCTGCTCCACTTTCCTTCTGCAAAAGATGTCACTAGACCTTCATGCAAGTGCTACGGACAGCCTCTCCTGAAGCGCCATCCGTACCAAGGCAGCTTCATCTCTGGTAACCAGAAGCACCTCTTTCCTCAAAGGAAACAGTAAGAAGAAGAAGGACAAGGAGAAGATGGCCAGGATTAATGCTTTAAGTAAATGTTTCCAAAATGAGATTTCTTATTCAACTTGAAATATCCTAAAAGGTGACAGTATCAGGTACTCAACTATCTTTTTTTTTTACCTTGCCGTCCTTGAGAACATCGCTTCTCCTTTTATTTCTTGCCTTCTAGTTTTTGGTCTCTTATTCATTCTAAGCGCTCTCCTTCTACACCTTTAACTGCGAATACCTAATACCATTAACTGTGGTCCAGTTCTCTCCTCGTGTAACCCTATAGTATTTCTGTGTGCTAATTGATCCTAATTTAATGGAAAAATAATTTTAAAATGGGGTATTAAGTTGTTTTCCTCTATGGAGAAATGCAAATAATGAATAATAGAAAGGAGATGTTCATGGACGACAATGAATTATAAATGTGACTGTCCAAGAGAAGAAATTTATCAAGTGAGAAGAGAACAAATGTTATCAGGAGTACACTTTGCTTCTACCTGATTAGGTTGAGGACAGTCAACTAGAAAGCTAATCAAACAACGAACATCATCATTCACTGATGAAGAGGATGCTTCTCCTACTAAAAGCTCAATAACCACCAACAGCTCATCTACCAGGGCATTCACTTCACCCACAGGCCTTTCTGCTCCATGAAGTGAAAATGTATCAACAGAATCTGTTTCACAAACAACCCAATAGCATCGTCTGCATCCATCAAGAAGAATTTGCAAGGCATTTGCATCACGCATGGCTGAAGACTCAGTAAACACCATGTCTGCCAGTGAAGACAGAAGTTTCTTCTGTAAACCATAATTGCACATGCTCCAGATCTTCAAATCCAACAACAATGTGCTAAAGAATTGCACTTTGAGCATATGATTATTTTTTTGAGATTGGCATAGAGAAATGATTGCAGCAACAAGTTCCTCGTCACCTAAACCACTTTGTTTATTAAGTTGCAACTTTGATATTGTTGGAAGAAGATAATGCAGAATCCTTGACAACAACTCAGGTGCTTGAGTACGACATAGCTCCTCAACGTTTCCAGGGTGTTGAATAACCATGGAGATAATTCTGAAAATAGGAGCAGAAAGTGAAGCAGTTGCCAGAGATAAATGAAGATCACCAAGCACAGGTTCCAGGCTATCCATCTGCACTTTGCTTACAGTCAATGGAAGTAAAACCATAGGACCTCCATAAGCCAATGCCCATAAAGATTCTGCGGGACGGAATCGGAATGCAACATGAACCTGCCCAATGACCTCAGAAGACGGTCGATGTAACCCTGAAAAAAGGCATCAGGAAAACAGAATAATCATCAAGACATAGGTCAATTCATCTAATGACAGATTCTTGCTTCAGATAGGCCACAAAGACGGAAGCCTAAGGACAGGTGTTTTAACTTTTCAGTTAATAGAACCAGAGGTAAAATCCAAGATTTTTTTTTTGGGTGGGTGAGTGGGGGGGGGGGGGGGTT